AGTACATGCGTAAAATACGTGCATCAACAACTTTTGAGGCCATATGTAGGCAATATTTTTTAAAGTTCATCTTCCCTTATTTACAGGGGAGGGGGTAGCACTGTGTTTAGAACGGTTTTTCCAGGGGGATCTTTATTCTGTATAAATGCCTTAAATATTAGGTTGTCCAAAAGGTATTCGACCGTGGGAGGGGGGACTAGCGGTATTGAAACGGTCATCCACAGGGGTCATTCTCAGCAAAAAATGCAATAGCAACTGCTCGGCCTTTTCCGTCAGTCTTTGGATAAGGATTATTATAGATAATAGCCGAGGCGGTTCAGAATGCAAAAATGCCTTTCATACGCTGTCGGTCAAGAAATCATCATTCCAAGGAACGATCCTAAAAAAGCAGACTGTCCTGAAATTTTTTATGTATTTGTAAAGTTGGTTAAAATACAATTTCTTCAGTAGCCATCGATCACGGTTCGGTATTACTTTCGCACAAATCCCGCGTTATTTCACACAATATTTACAGTTGTTATCAAGATTGCCTAATCATAATTAAACAAAATGCAGCGTATCAGTCAAAGTATTTATCACAAAATATTAAATCACTACCTTAATTAAGTATAAAAGGTTTTTGCTCTATCGTGAGTAATAAAACAAAGAAAACAGATTCCATAACAACGTGTCGCCAGGTCTGTCACTTGGAATATGGATAACCGTAAAATAGCATCACTATGGGCCTTAATAGTTTTAACATTAATTTGATATCGGTGTAAAGTAAGAGTACAATTATGTAAATAATATAACCTCTCAGTTGTTGTTAAGTTTATGAGATAGTTTATATAGGAATGTAAACCATTCGAAATTTGAGGTCCGATGCACATGCTAGATTCAGAACCTACATTAATTTGAATATTTAACAACCAATATAACAACCAATGTGTCATTGGCAAGTGGCTACTGTAGTCGGGGCCGCTCCGGGAGACATAGATATAAATGACCAGACTACAATGTCTACATGTGTGACTTAGACCTTTTTTTCTTGAATGAAGAAAATTCGCAAATAAAGAACCACAGATTAAATCTAAACAATACAGAATCTAGAACAACGTATCGCCAGGTCTGTAACTTGCAATATGGATAATTGTAATTTAGCGTCACATGGGGACTAAATAATGTACCATTGCTTTGGCAAGTTAATGAGATAGTTTATACACCGTGTATATCCAGTAACGCCGGAATGTGAAAATAACGCACGTTTCGTGCTATACAGTATAGCTTGACCAAATTTTGGACATGTTGTTAAAAGACATTGTGGATAACGATGGATGACTGACGATGTGTTCAGATGAACTAAACTTATTTTAAGGTAAAACCTAATAAAGCAGTCTGAAGGGGCCCCTGTCACAAAAGATTTTTTTTTACAAACTATTAAATATAGCCATGACTGTCACAGTAGAAATCTGGTTTTTGAGCTCTGTACATCGTCTCATAACAGAGATCATTTGTGACAAGTTATGTAAAGCTTTTTAAAAGCATTTTAAATCTATGATGTAACACAACATGTGGACTGACCATGACCTTGGATTTAGTTACCAGGTAGTCAGTTGCTCAAAGTTCAGTTAAATTTAACCGAGCTTTGAGAAACTGGCCCCTGCACGTATAAAGTCCCATCTTGATAATAGTTTGTTCAAAGAAATTTCAAAAACTTTGCAACAGGGGGGGGGGGGGGTGAGAAAACTGTTGAGCTAGCTAACGGAACGCCTGGTTCGTTTTTATTAGGTACCTTACATAATGCACAGAGACCCCTGAAGTCTTCCTTTACCAGTAAAGTTGGAAAGTCACCGCATGACTTTGTCAATATTAGTGCGACGTAACACGCCTAGTCCATCCAAAATAAAGAAGTTTAATCGTTATCGGGCGGACACTGTGGACATTTCATCTGCAAGTGTGACCTTAAGGATGGCGTCCCGATTGCTGTACACTGCTCATTGTGTCATGGTAGTGATCATTTGTGTCTTGTAATTCTAAAACATTTTCTGTAGTTTAAACATGCAATGTGGTCTTCTCAGATTTGCTTTGACCTTTGTGGTGGCCACCTGGTTGTTGTGCACTACACACCCTTAAAAGGCGATAATTTGTTTAATTCAAAACAGAAAAAATCAGACGTGAAAATGTGACAAACTGACAGATGGAGTACATTCCCATAACGTCATTTGTGCAATGTTATATTTAAAACGTTTCAGCAGTTTTACTGTTGTGGAGCGGAACCAAAATATGGACTTAAAACATTTGACATTGACCATGGTAGTTGCGGTCAGCACATCATATCATGGTGGTTAATTCAAAACTTTTTCAGTTATTCAAAATTATGGAGCGACTTTTTATATTTGATCTTCAAGTGTGACAATTGACCTTGATAGTAGCTACCTGTTTTTTTTCCACTCTGCAAATTGTCTCATGCTGGTGAATATTTGGATCAAGTTAAATCAAAATCTGTTCTGTAGAATAAAAGTTATAGAGCGGATACAAATATGTAACAGATAGACAGAGACGGACGGACAGACAGACAGACAGACAGATAGGACTTTTCTTGAATCCTTTCCTCGCTAAATGGCAGGGAATTAAAAAGATGTTCACTAATAGTACAGCATCCTTTGTAACTTTTAACATATCCCACTTGGAAAACATACAAAAGGAAACAACATAAATAAAATTTCTTTTATACATTTTAATTCCCTAATCAGTACAACTATACAAACTAGAACTATCACTAAATGTGATTAATACCCCCACAAGTCTGCTTCGGAAATGAGGATGTTACTAGTAACAGAATACCTTGTAATAGAATTGAAACATAGAGTTATGGTTGTGGGCAATTAAAGATAATTGTGGTTCATGTATGTTGCATTTCCTTTCAATGTGGTTGGCCATTGATGAAGTTTAATTGAATTACTCTGTAATAAGTCCAGAAAGACAAAGAAAAAGAACAAAGGGCAATAACTCTATAAATACTGAAGATAGTGTTATAGTTCTTGTGCACTGCACTTCCTCTTATTGTGCTTGACCATTGTATGAAGTTGTTTTGAATTCCAACCAGTACATTTTAAGTTATGCTCCGGACAAGGAAAAGTATCAAAGGGCAGTAACTCTGTATTTTGTCAAAATGGAGTTATGGCTCTTGTGCACAGCACTTCCTTTTAATGTCCTTGACAACTGTATGAAGTTGTACTGAATTCCAAACAGTAGTTTTCAAGTTATGCTCTGGACAAGGAAAAGTAACAAAGGGCAATAACTCTGTAATTAGTCAAGATGGAGTTATGGTTTTTGTGCACTGCACTTCCCCTTATTGTGCTTGACCATTGTATGAAGTTGTTTTGAATTCCAACCAGTAGTTTTCAAGTCATGCTCTGGACAAGGAAAAGTAACAAAGGGCAGTAACTCTGTAATTAGTCAAGATGGAGTTATGGTTCTTATGCACTGCACTTCCTCTCAATGTGCTTGACCATTGTATGAAGTTATAATGAATTCCAACAATAAGGCTTCAAGTTATGGTCCGGACAAAAAGAAAGCAATGGAAAAGTAACAAAGGGCAATAACTCTGTAATTAGTCAAGATGGAGTTATGGTTCTTGTGCACTGCACTTCCCCTTATTGTGCTTGGCCATTGTATGAAGTTGTTTTGAATTCCAACCAGTATTTTTAAAGTCATGCTCTGGACAAGGAAAAGAAACAAAGGGCAGTAACTCTGTAATAAGTCAAAATGGAGTTATGGTTCTTGTGCACTGCACTTCCTCTCAATGTGCTGGACCATTGTATGAAGTTATAATGAATTGCAAACAATTAGTCTTCAAGTTATGGTCCGGACAAAAGAAAGCAATGGAAAAGTAATAAAGGGCAATAACTCTGTAATTTACTTTAGATAGAGTTTATGGTTCTTATGGACTGCACTTCCTCTCAATGTGCTTGACCATTGTATGTAGTAATATTGAATTCAAACCATTAGTCTTCAAATTATGGTCCGGACAAAAAAAAGAAGGCAATGGAAAAGCAACAAAGGGCAATAACTCTGTAATTACTTTAGATAGAGTTATGGTTCTTGTGCACTGCACTTCCCTTATTGTGTTTGACAATTGTATGAAGTTTTTTTGAATTCCAACCAGTAGTTTTCAAGTTATGCCACGGACAAGGAAAAGTAACAAAGGGCAATAACTCTGTAATTAGTCAAGATAGAGTTATGTTTCTTACGCACTGCACTTCCTCTCAATGTGCTTGACCATTGTATGTAGTTATATTGAATTCAAACCATTAGTCTTCAAGTTATGCTCCGGACAAACGGAAAAAATTGCAATTTGGACAAAAAAAAAAAGCCCAAATGGAAAAGCAACAAAGGGCAATAACTCTTGTAATTACCTTTAGATAGACGAGGGTTATGGTTTTTTCTTGATGCACTGCACTTTTCTTCCTTTATTATGTTTTGAACAATTGTATGAATTTGTTTTTAATTCCAACCAGGTAGTTTTCAATTATGCCCCGGACAAGGAAAAAGTAACAAAAGGGCAAATAACTCTGTGTAAATTAGTCAAAGAATAAACTTATGGTTCTTGGGGTTTGCACTGCACTTCCCTTCTTCAATTATTGCTTGACCATTTTAGTAGTTATTATTTGAATTTCCCAACCATTTAGTTTTCAAGTTGCTCCGGACAAGGGAAAAAGGCAACGGACGTTCTGGGACGACCCCGACCGACCGCCCACCGACCAAACCCCCGACCGAAACCACCGACCCGACCTTGACCGGGGTGACTCCATATTTACCCCCCCAAACTTCGTTTTTGGGGGTATAATGAAGGGAAACAAAGTTTGAACTAATGCAAATGTAGTCTTCCTTTCTTATTTCAGAGTGTCATCTTTTTTTTTATTTCTGCATTTAAACGTTCTTTAAACCTTTCAACAAGATTCTGCGTTTTTTCTTCAGACATTTATTTCTTGAATTCTTTTTCTTTTTACATAAAAGCATTTTTGAGAAAAAGACAAATTGGTCAGCTGAACTTAAAATCATGAAAAACTTACAGAATGCCCAGTTTCAGGCATATACACATACATGTATACAAATCATTCACAACATTTATTTATCTGAACATCACACTGATTATTATCTGCACAAATCCTACCAGCTCCGTTACCAGGGCAACCCAAATGCCAAAAATATTGCATAAACATTACTATAATACAAAATAAAAAAAAATACTTTCGTTCATATTTTTCCGTATAGTATATCTTTATTTGTATATATTAAATTATAAACATATCATGAAAATGAAATTAAATGAGATTACATGTATACTGAATACCAATACTCAATCAATAACCAATCAAAATTGTTTAGAAAGAAATTAATTTTTCTTTCTTTGACCATTCTTTTTCGTAACACCTAATCAACTCAATCTACACATATCTCCACATATCATGCACTTAACAACCAAAAAGATATTAAATGAGAGGAATATGCAACCTAGAAATCAACAACTTCAAACAAGTTTGTAAATAAATCATCAAACAAAACAAGAAACATAAAAACTTTGTATTAGTAAAAACAGTCATGATAAATGCTCTTTTTATTGCCATGTATGAATCCACAGTAGCCTCAACATACTGCCATCATTTAGACTAGAAATACTAACTACACTTTCAAAATATTAAAAAGCGGTACTTTTTGTAAGGGTAATATATAGGATAATAGGGAACATTTTTATATATATATATATGATTTACATTAATATTTTTCTTGTAATTATAACGTTATTACTCTTTATGATATACATGTATAATACATATATGTATATGTTCTCAAGCTGCAAAAATTACACAAAGAAATAAAGTACGTAGAAATAAAGTACGTACATTGCTATCTATGCAAAGTTCACAGACTTTTCTGTGTAATTCTTATTCTTTAGCCTCTATTTCAATTAAATTGTGTCACAATGGTCACAGTATACATGTATATCAACTTGGCCACAGAATACAGACTGTAGAAACTATGAACTGTATATTTAACTTAAACTGAATAAACAAGAAATAAATAAATGACCCTCATTTAGAATCACGCAAATAAGGTGTTGTTGGGTTGTCTTTTTTTCCCAATTATATATTAATATAATAATATTTTGTGTTGATTTCCTGATGACAACTTATATTTGAGTGATTCAGTGAATGAGTAAAGAAATCATAACTTAAAATTTCAATTTTTGAACAAGAACTCTGTCAGTATATCATATAACATGTATAGAATGTAATGTCAAAAGGTCACTTAACACTTATTCCTGCAGACATAATATGATGTGCTATTTGAAACATTATAAAACTATTTCTAGCCCTTTTGGGACTATAACACTTATGCCATCAGTTCAGAGTCAGGTCAATTTCTATACACCAGTCTGACCAGACTATATCCTGTTGGCTTCTTAAACATAAGATTTTGTGCTTGACACTTCTTAAAGAGCTTAAGTTAAGCCATAACACGTCTACTATACAAATTTTTTGGTAAAGGAATGCTAATAAATAAAAAGAGCTGGCAAGGACATGTAAGAAGATGGAAAAATAGTCACAAAATACCATTCTAAAACAAGCTGCCATCTATTCCATGTGGGCACTGTATGTTTATTATGAATAATGAAAAAACTACAAGTCTGTAAGTTGGATCTTGCCATGATGTTTATGAGATATAATGTTAGATAGAATATACTGACAGAGTTCATTGTTTCTCTACCATGTCAACTTCAACCTCACTTGCTGAGACGGTTTTCTCTATGGCTGTCTGACTAGGTCTGTCAAAATATAATAAAAACATTTTCCTCTGTTAATATTGTATATTATTGTTTATTGAAATAATCTTTTAACTTTATATAATCCATGTGTATGTAAATATAATATGTATCAGAATATAGTATGATGTACATGTATCATTTTTTCCCTGTTTTAGCGATTATCAAAACATATATTCTTGAGTGGTAGGGAAAATTTAGCAAAAAAATATTGAAAAATTTGTGTCTTATTCTGTGAAAGTATATTACAATGAGTTGATGATGTGTAGCAATATTTTTTTTTCAAAATTGCAAGAAAATGTTAATCAAAAGCGATTTAAATAATTGTTCATGCAATTTACAATTCTAATTAATGTCTAATAAATGACACTCTCTATTGCAACTGTGTTCTAGTAATACTGATACATTTTAGAGCAATCTTTCTTATATTGTAATAAATATGCAGAATTCATATATAATCACTAGCCTATTTCTAAGTATAATAACTGGTGCATTTACTTTAATGTGTGTGTTTTTTGGAAGTTAAATCATAATAAGTCACTTCCATGCAAACAACTATATTCTTAAAAAAGAGGGCCATGATGGCCCTGAGGTCGCTCACCTGTATATAGGCCCCCCACCCCCCACAACGTTGCAGGGCCAATTTTAACCCAAGGGCTTTTATTTGCACAAACTTGGTAGACACCCATAAGAAGATGTTTCATGCTAAACATCTAAGCTCTAGCTCATTGGGCTTTTTAAAAGAAGATTTTTTTTAAGTTTTTACTATACACATATAGTTAAAAACAATGACACCCCTGGGGCGGGGCCAATTTTGACCCCAGGGCTTTTATTTGAACAAACTTGGTAGACACCCATTAGAACATGTTTCATGCTAAATATCTTAGCTCTAGCTCTTTGGGTACTTTAAAAGAAGACTTTTTAAGTTTTTACTATATGCATATAGGGAAAATCAATGACCCCCCAGGGCGGGGCCAGTTTTGACCCCAGGGCTTTTATTTGAACAAACTTGGTAGACACCCATAAGAAAATGTTTCATGCTAAATATCTTAGCTCTAGCTCTTTGGGTTTTTTAAAAGAAGACTTTTTAAGTTTTTACTATATGCATATAGGGAAAATCAATGACCCCCTGGGGCGGGGCCAATTTTGACCCCAGGGCTTTTATTTGAACAAACTTGGTAGACACCTATTAGAACATGTTTGATGCTCAATATCTTAGCAATAGCTCTTTGAGTTCTTTAAAAGAAGATTTTTTAATTTTTTACTATATGCATATAGGGAAAATCAATGACCCCCCGGGTGGGGCCAATTTTGACCCCAGGGCTTTTATTTGAACAAACTTGGTAGACACCCATTAGAACATGTTTCATGCTAAATATCTTAGCTCTAGCTCTTTGGGTTCTTTAAAAGAAGATTTTTTTAGTTTTTACTATATGCATATAGGGAAAATCAATGACCCCCTGCGGCGGGGCCAATTTTGACCCCAGGGCTTTTATTTGAACAAACTTGGTAGACACTCACTAGAAGATGTTTCATGCCAAATATCTAAGCTCTAGCTCTTATGGTTTTTTAAAAGAAGATATTTAAAGTTTTTTCTTTCGGTTGCCATGGCAACCAGAGTTCTGCATGGAATTAAATTCTTTGAACAATTTTTAAAGGTGACCACCAAAAGAACATTCCTGTGAAGTTTGGATGAAATTGGCTTAGTGGTTTATGAGGAGATGTCATTTAAAGTAAAAGTTTACGGACGGACGACTGACGGACGGACGCCGGACGAAAAGCGATCACAAAAGCTCACCCTGTCACTTTGTGACAGGTGAGCTAAAAAATTCAATTTTTTGCCAATTCACTTTGCTGACAATCATTTTGTAAATATTTGTTTTGATATTTAGACCTCTACAAATATCAAATTTATTCATCTGAAGTCTTTAAGTAATATCATCACCAATTTTACCCTTTCTGCCACAAAAATCCTCAAACAAAATATAGCCTTCTCTAAAATTTTAAAACCCAAACAAAAATATATAAGATATTTTTCATGATTAATTAAAGACAAGTGTAATGTAAAAGCATAAACATATTTTCTACTTCTGTAGGTTCAAGACGTGACATGAATCTGCTTTTGTTAAAGTGGTAAATTTCACTTAAAAAAAGAAGCTTTTAAAACATTACTTGCAGTCCAAGCTTACATTGCACTTATTAAAATGTCCTCACCAAAAAAAAAAAAAAAAAATCAACACTGCCACAAAATAAATTGAGTATATAAGAGTAAAAAGTACAAAATAGTATTGAACAGTACAAAATGGGTGCCTGGAAAGTATACATGTTACAAAATCCATCACCAAAAAAATAGAACATGATTTCTATGTATGATTTTGAGTCTACAACATATTTATATATGGATGACATGGAAAATATGGGAAGTTTGTTTTTCCGAGTTTGAAATGAACCAGTACATGTGAACATTGAGGTGCAATAATTATTCCTTGCAATATATCTTGTATGTGAACATTGACTTTTTTATGAGTAGCCCTGCACCTTACATACAAACAAAATCTAGTTTTTACAAGTGGTGTCCCCTCCCCTTCATTTTAAGGACTGCCGGAGAGAGGGTTTCCTGATTTTGCTGGACTGGAAGCTAATGGACTAGTACCAAACCTGGTAGGGCTGGTGGAGTACGTTCCCTTAGGTAGATCTGCTTCTTCCATTGACATGCTGCGGTTACGAAGTGCAGCTCTTGCAGTATCGCTGTCAACTGAAGATGTTCTCTCTACTCTAGGCATAGGAACACCACCAACTAAAATCAATGAAGAATGTAACACATGATATAATTAAAACATATAAGACAAACAATTGAAGATATTACAAAAAAATGTAATTTTTTTCATAAAATGTTCAAAAATTGAAGTGAAATACAATTTATTAAAAAGAAGACTTTTTTTAATTTTTAGACAACTTAAGCATTAAGTACCTAATATGTTCCAGGAATATTTAAACTTTTCAAAATTTGTCTCCAAAAATATTTTTCTTTTTTATTCTCATAATATGAATAAACACTTGTGTCAAAATTGCTATCAGTTTTCAAGTCAAATGTGCAAAGTATTGAACAATGATTTGCAAGTTAGTAATAGAGGTTATGATATCATACATATAAACAATTACTGTTCCTACCCGAAGGTAGTTTCTGACCTTCTATGATATAGTTTCAGGCAAAATTCAGCCCACATTACTTTTACTTAGCAGCAAGTTAGGTAAAACCAAAAATCAAAAAATGTTTTACTACTAAGATATAACATAAAAAATAATTTGTACTCACCCACACCAATACCCTGACAGAAGTACAAGAAACTCTCTGCCAACTTTTGAGGCTGTGAAATGAATAAACAGTTTGTAAGGAAGATAGACAAATAGTCATCACAAATAAATATATTAATTCTTGATAGAAAACAAGTCATGAAGCGGGCAGAAGAAAATAATTCTGTAAAAAAAATGTCAGAGCTATGGTCTTGATCAGTGACCTACAATCATGTTTGAAGATTCAAATGAGTAACTTGGTTGGATTCTTAACCTTTTATCTAACACACCTTTACTTTCCTGTAACGTTAAACTTGTCCTGCCTGAAATATTGAAGCATTTTACGTGATTCAACAGGGGAGCTCTGAGGTGCCACTTTTTGCATTATTTCATGCACAAACACAAGCACCTGAGTAGAAATACTGATGTTCTGTATGCTAGCTGGAAAGATTCCTCACATGAAAGAATTCAGTGAAAGATTTGAATCCATGTGGGTGATGGGGGGCAATTGGTTTAAAGTAAATGACCTTTACCCCATTGAAGCTCCAAACAATTTAGATTCTGAAATACTGCATGAATAAGCAGGTTGTTACATAGACTAGCAGGTTGACCCGATTTTATACTGCTGGCAGTGGCAGACAAATAATTTCCCAAATAGCCTTAGGACCATTAAAGAACTAATCTATACCTTCTCTTCCAGGACATTCGCCACACCTTCCACCTCGAGCAACTCAATCTTTGCTTTATCAAGTTTCTGTGACATGTATCCATACAAATGATGAACAGTATGGTTGAATGAAGCCTTATCACCAGTTACCATCAACACTGGGCAACTAAATATAAAGTATTGTCAAAAGGTTCTCATTTGACTTGTCAAAAGTTTCTGCTTTTTATATATTGCAGTTTATTGCATTTTTTTTCCACACAAGGTTGCCTTTTTAAAGCTACTATTAATTGTTACAAGTTATTAAATTTTTTACCACAATATTTTCTGCAGCTCAATATAATGTATGAGCTACATGTGAATATTTAATTCAGTTTGCAGCTAAACTATTTGAGTAACAAATAAGTTGAAAATAACATGTGTAATACCATTTGATTTCTTTATGACTGATTAAGTTTTTCAAGAGGAAAATTAACAGATAAATGTATAAATATCAATAAATAACTAGAACTGCCACTATCATGGCGTGAATACCCCCGCATACCAGTTTGTCAGAATCAACAGTGGCCATTTAGAGCTCAAGGACAACCTCGCTGCCAAATCTGAGTTTACTAAGCCAGTGCATTGCTAAGTTATGTATTCTGCATGCTTCAAATGTGAAAATGTCAAAATCAATACATTGCGGACAGGACATTCTTTAACAATTGAGAAGAAAAGCTTTTTTTGTCAAGGTCCCTGTGACCTTGACCTTTGACCCAGTGACCTCAAAATCAATAGGGGTCACCTTATAGTCATGATCAACATCCATGCCAAATATGAAGATTGTTGGTCAAAGGAATCTTAAGTTAATGGGTAGACAAACTTTTTGAAGTAAAAGTCCCTATGACCTTGACCTTTGATCCAGTGACCTCAAAATCAAAAGGGGTCATCTACTAATCATGACTAACCTTCATTCCAAATATGAAGACTGTGGGTCATTCCAAATATGAAGACTGTGGGTCATAGGAATCTTAAGTTATTGGGCAGACAAGCTTTTTGAAGTCAAGGCCCCTGTGACCTTGACCTTTGACCTGGTGGCCTCAAAGTCAATAGGGGTCATCTTCTTATCATGACTAGCCTCAATGCCAAATATGAAGACTGTGGGTCCAAGGAATGTTAAGTTATTGGTCGGACAAACTTTTTGAAGTCAGCCCCTGTGACCTTGACCTTTGACCTGGTGACCTCAAAGTCAATAGGGGTCATCTACTAATCATGACAATCCTCAATGCCAAATATGAAGACTATGGGTCAAAGGAATCTTAAGTTATTTGGCGCACAAGCTTTTTGAAGTAAAGGCCCCTGTGACCTTGACCTTTGACCTGGTGACCTAAAAATCAATAGGGGTCATCTACTAATCATGACTACTCTCCATGCCAAATATGAAAACTATGGGTCAAAGGAATCCTTAAGTTATTGGGCGGACAAGCTTTTTGAAGTAAAGGCTCCTGTGACCTTGACCTTTGACCTGGTGACCTCAAAATCAATAGGGGTCTTCTACTTATCACGACTTACTTCCATGCCAAATATGAAGACTGTGGGTCAAAGCAATCTTAAGTTATTGGGCGGACAAGCTTTTTGAAGTCAACGCCCCTGTGACCTTGCCCTTTGACCTGGTGACCTCAAAATCAATAGGGGTCATCTACTAATCATGACTAACCTCCATGCAAAATATGACGACTGTAGGTCAAAGGAATCTGTAGTTATTGGACCGACAAGCTTTTTGAAGTCAAGGCCCTTGTGACCTTGACCTTTTACCTAGTGACCTCAAAATCAATAGGGGTCATCTACTAATCATGACTAACCTCAATGCCAAATATGAAGACTGTGGGTCAAAGGAATCTTAAGTTATTGGGTGGACAAGCTTTTTGAAGTCAAGGCCCCTGTGACCTTGACCTTTGACCTGGTGACCTCAAAATCAATAGGGGTCATCTACTAATCATGACTAACCTCCATGCCAAATATGACGACTGTAGGTCAAAGGAATCTTAAGTTATTGGGCGGACAAGCTTTTTAAAGTCAAGGCCCCTGTGACCTTGACCTTTGACCTGGTGACCTCAAAATCAATTGGGGTCATCTACTAATCATGACTAACCTCCATGCCAAATATGAAGACTAAGGGTCAAAGGAATCTTAAGTTATTGGGCGGACGAGAAAAAAATGAGGGACGGCCAGACGGCCCGACAGACTGGCAGACAGACAAGCTGATTCCAGTATACCCCCCTTACAACTTTGTTGTGCAGGGGTATAAAAAGTTTTAACTGGTGCAGGATCTTGTGAAAACTGCTCACAAGTACATAAACAAAAGATTAAAGATTGCCATTTAAAACAGACCTAAACTTAAATTACACATACATGTATTATGTATGAAACTGAATACATAGATATGTAAGAAATACATAGATATATAAGAAATACGTTACTCACGTAATTTTTTGAATAGTATCGGTGATGTTAGTACGCCTGAAATATAAATTACATAGTACATAGTGAAAAAATCAACAAAGGGCCATAATTCTGTTAAATTTGGTTGCAGCTAAAATTCTTTCCTGTACTTCCATCTACACATTAAGGTTGTTCATCCCTGGAAGTTTAAGCAAAATCTGCCATCCGGTTTAAGAGGAGTTGCGTTCACAAAATTTCTATATGGTATATAGTGAAAAAATCAACAAAGGGCCATAATTCTGTAAAATTTGGTCGCAGCAAAAATTCCTTCCTTTACTACCATCTACACATTAAGGTTGTTCATCCCTATAAGTTTTAGCAAAATCCGCCATCCAGTTTAAGAGGAGTTGCATTCACAAAATTTCTACATAGTACATAGTGAAAAAATCAACAAAGGGCCATAAGTCTGTAAAATTTGGTCGCAGCAAAAATTCCTTCATTTACTACCATATACACATTAAGGTTGTTAATCCCTGGAAGTTAAAGCAAAATCTGCCATCCGGTTTAAGAGGAGTTGCCTTCACAAGATTTCTGGACATAAGTACGGACGGATGAGTGCAGACAGACAGACCTACGGACGAACAGACAAGTGCAACGCTATATGCTCCCACAATGTGGGGGCATAAACATGTAAAAGGCACAGTACATCAATTGGCACTTACTTCATAAAAGACTGGACATATCTGTTAAGGTTATGAGGATTGATTTTGGAGCGAAGTCCTTCCTGGAATGTTGTCAACACCTTGTTCAATTCCTCCTTGTTCTCTGCCTTTTCAAACTGTATAAACACAAAATCACAGAAAGGTTCCAAATTAAAATTTTGTATAAGATTCATCAATAGGTATAAGATTCATCAATAGCTTGTATAAATGGGGATGGGGTCCACATCAATGTCCCTCTACGCATTATTTCAGGCACAAATGGACACCTCAGTTTACCCAGTGACCTTCCGTAAACATAAACAAGATTGCATTTGAGAAAAATGCTATGCCACCGCATTAATACAACACTAAATAGTAGTGTAGGAACAGATTTTTTTTTGTTTCTTTACAATTGAAGATTGTCATAATGCATAGATCCCTGACCTATCTAATTCTTATTATCAGATTAGTGGTTAAATATATTGTTATTCCAATAAAAGATCAGAGTAGGAATATACCAATGCACTCGAGTCTATTGAATTCAGTGGTGAAGGTCATATTTCACACAGCTTAAATTTCACGACTACATCAAAGGACAACACAGAAAGACACTTTGTCAAAATCTAGGTCAGCTGATATCAAAGTTCACTTTACATCTTAATCTGTGCACATGGTTTCATAGCTGTACATCAAAGGACAAGAAAGTAGGTCACATCATCAAAATCTAGGTCATCTGATATCAAAGCTCAATTTTACAACTAAAACTGTGCACAAGGTCAAAATTTCATTGCTGTACATCAAAGGACAAGAAAGTAGGTCACTGTCCCCTTGGGGCAAGGCCAAGGGTTTAATTCAAAACAATCTTGATACAGGTCCACCAAACAACATTTTTAGTCAAATATCTAAGCTGTAGCTTTCTTCTCATTTTTACTATATACATTAAAGGAAAACCTATGGCCCCCGGGGCAGGGCAATTTTGACACTAGAGGCAAAATTTGAACAACTTTGGTAGAGTACCTATAGATGATATCATTTAACAAAATTTAATATTAAAGCTCTAAGCCTTGTACCTTCAGAGAATAAGATTTTTTTTATTTTTTACTATTTGTATATATTGAAAATCAATGACCCCCAGGGCGGGGGCAATTTTGACCCCAGGGCTATAATTTGAACAATCTTGCTAGAGATTCACTTCACAATGTTCATGCAAAATATCTAACCTCTAGCATTTGTCAATTGCTAGAAGAATTTTTTTTAAAGTTTTTACTATAAGTTTTTACTTTATACATATAGGGAAAACCAATGACCCCCGGGGCGGGGCTGTTTTTGTCCCCAGGGCTATAATTTGAACAATCTGGGTAGAGGTCTACCAGACAATGCCTTATGCAAAATATCTAAGCTCTAGGCCTTTTGGGTCTTTACAAGAAGGTATTAGTTTTTACTATATGTACATATAGTGAAAATCAATGACCCCCGGGGCGGGGCCAATTTTAACCCCAGGGCTATAATTTGAACAATCTTGGTAAGGGTCTACCAGACAATGCTTTATGCAAAATATCTAAGCTCTAGGCCTTTTGGGTCTTTACAAGAAGGTATTTTAAGTTTTTACTATATGTACATATAGTGAAAATCAATGACCCCCGGGCGGGGCCTATTTTGACCCCAGGGCTATAATTTGAACAATCTTGGTAGAGATCTACCAGACAATGCCTTATGCAAAATATCTAAGCTCTAGGCCTTATGGATCTTTACAAGACGATTTTTTAAATTTATTCTTATAATTCCTTTTGGTTGCCATGGCAACCAGATTTCTGCATGGAATAAAATTCTTTAAACAACTTTGGAAGCCCTTCACCCAAGGATCAATCCTGCCAAGTTTGGTTGAAATTGGACTAGTGGTTTTTCACAAGAAGATTTTTTAAGTTCACTATATAATCTATATAACACACAAACAAACAAACACACACACACACAGGTGAATCGCTATATGCCACCGCATCGCAGATGCTGCGGTGGCATAAAAATATAGGAACCGGCTAATTTTTTACAAGCTAATGATGAGCGTAATAATATAGAAAATCGGTTATCTCATCAATGCAACTGCAACAAAAGACAAATGCAAAACTTGCATGATGTTTGTTCCATTTCATCAGCAAATAGTTCATGTTACATGCAAATTTAATGACTTCAAATGCTTCAATATCTCTCTCTCTTTTGCTACAGTTGCAGATGAAATGTCCATTTTTCAAACAGCCCATGAGATAAAAATAAAAAAAGACTGGAGAGCTTAAAATTTCTCCTCAAATATGCAAGCTGATTCTAAAATTTCATTCCTTAATTGAAAAGAACATGCTCTGCTATAGCATTTCAAATAGCAATTATATAAAGTTGAAACGAAAAACAAGATCAATTGCCTGATTACAAATTCATCTCAAAATAATAGTTCGGCAAAACTAAATCTTGAAAAATTGTTTTAGCCATTCCTTATGTTGAAAAGTATATCAAATTACATCAGTATTAATTTTGTTAGATGATCTTTATACTCTAATCATTTGTTAATCTATTATATAAATTATGCATTAGATTAGTTAATTTCTATGAAAAGTATCAAGCTACAATCTTTAAAGTTTGATAACTTTTTTTTTCTAATGCCTATATACATCTACAAAGTTAAATACAACATTATCTCGATCTATCTACATATTGAAAGTTAAATAATTACTATCTAAAAGATTTTCACAATATCTAGTATCTATTTGAAAAAGGAATTTTACAATATTTATAAAAGATAACCTGCATCTTAGGAATCCATTAACATTATGAACGTTTATATAACAATTTAGTATTTTTAAAAAATTACTAATGTGATTCTAAACTTTAAAAGCGTACTTAACAAATATGGTAAGAATGAACAATTGAAGATTTAAAAAACAAAAACAAACAACAACAACAACAATATTTTGTTCTTGATTATCAAGGATTGTATGGTTAATATAATTCTATATTCTTGGTTAAAAAATCACTCTGGTTAGTTTAATATCAACAGAAGCATTCACTTCTAATTTACATACTACATGCATGCTTTTATTTAAAACATCTGCTTTGAAGCTTTATATAAATTTCAATATTTAGAAATAAAAACACAAAAAACACTGTCATGCAATATATGCATGGAATATGTAAATAATTACATGCTCAACTCTTGTGATATTATCTTATGAGTTTGGAGACTATGTTAGTAAATAAAATACAAACTGAAGTTAGGTAATATGTGTACTCGTCATCATCAAACAGTTCACCAATGCTAAAACTCTTGAGATTATGGGAACAATGCAACGAATGGGCAAAAGGAATATTATGCGATTGTATCCATGTATGGTATAATTATAAGTTTTCTGGGTGGTTTTTGGTTGTGGCTACTGAATCTACATATAATTTATGTTGGTTAAATATTATAGGGTGCAAAGGTGACACTTTTGAAGGTGATTTTGTTTGTTATTCTGTTGTTTTTTTATGATAGTTTTGACAGTTGATGGTTAAATATTATGTGTTTAAATGTTATGTATACAAAGAAAAGCTATATTAGAAGAAATATCATTTGAGAAGATTATTAATTGTTTCTATTCAGCAAATTAAAGTAAATTCTCATTCAGAAATTTTAGACAAACTTTAATTTTGAAATATAAAATGCACAATTGTTTTTTCCATTTCACTGGAAAATGATTTGATTAATCTTGAAAATGCTCATTTGTCTAAGATTAAAGTTCACTACATCTAAATGTATTATTAAAATTATCGTATGTTTAAAGAACGGAATGATGCTGATGACAGATAAAATTCAATTTCAAATATATCAAGATAATAAGTCCAATGATAATTAATAATCTGTACAGTGAGATTTTTTTTAAAAAACAGTGGTCATGCTTTTTTTGTAAATTTATTTTTATACAGGTGTGATTAAGATGCTAAAATATAAATATATAACTATACATGTTAGTGCTGAAAGTATCGTTATGTAATTAGAGAAACAAGTCTATGTGAGAATTTCTTCACACACACAACCCTTTGCAATATTAGACACATGGTAAAAGATCAAACTACAATACCTAATATATGATAGCTTTATCCACCTGAAAATATCTCATTCATTAGAAAAAAAAAAATCTATGCCAACGCCTTCACTTTATTACCGTGTTTTATGGATTTTGCTTCTCCCTTCACAAAGTGCAAGAATTGCAGGAGAAAGGTCTATAGCCTTAAGTAAGATGCTTTTGATAAAACTTCATGAGTTTTATGACTGCAGTTTGTCTCAGGAAAAATTCATCTTGTATAAGTGACAGAATCGAGTCTAGGCCCTTGGTTTTTAATTAAGTTTTAAGTTAAAACTTATTCAACTTTAGTCACCTTAGCTCATACTAAAATCATTGGCTTAAAACCTTAAAAATTTGTTACACAACTACAGTAAGTTTGTTGGAATTGTTTTTGTTAATTATTTTACTGAGATTCTACCAGAATATGTTTCAAAACTTTCTAATTTGTCTACCGGATGATATATGAGAGGTGTTCAATAAGTGTCCAGAAAAGTTTCATAACTTATCTATTTACAAGTTTGAGTTTACCTGAATGAAATATTCAACACTGATTCTTTGACATACTCTTTCTGGCCTTGAGGTCAGGGCTGCATGGCAGAAAGTATAAAGATGTTCATGACTTGCTGATCATTGTTCAGAAAACCATTCATAAGATTCCAAAGGAGCAGTTTCGATGTTGCTTTGCAAAGTGGAATGATCCATATTTGGAAGCATAGTATATTGTGCAACAAAAAATATTTTGAAAAGTGTAATGTGAAATGTGTTAGATCAATTTTGTAGATGCTGCATTCCCTTCTGGCTAGATGTCACTCTCAGTTGCCATAATTTCTATACATGCATAATTATGCATAAGTGAAAGTCATTTAATTTTTCTGTTAGATTATATGCATAACACATCAAAGTATCAGTATTGAACATTTCATTCAGATGAACATATAAATAAACAAGTTATATAACTTTTCTGCATACTTTAACTCTTATCGACCACTCCACATGGTATACATAAAACTTCAAGACAAAGAGACAGCAAGAAAATAGCAAGGATT